CCCCGTGCTGGGGGCGTGGCCTCGTTAGAGGACATGATTGACAAGGGGGCGTGGCCTCTGCACGGGGCGTGTCTTGGAGCGACACCCGCGGACCACGCAGGGTCACGGACATGGGGGAATGTCCTGGTGTGTGTCACTACGAAGGTCAGGGATGTGACAGTGTGTGTGACACCGGGATGACACGGCGTGTGTGCCGTGCGACACCTCCCTGGATGTGCTGTGTACCCCCCACGCGTGTCACCTGTGCCACGGCACTGCCTGCCCCCCACTGCTGCACACCCACAGTCCCACGGGCACTGAGCAGCCCGGCAGGGGAGAGCCCTCCCCATTTTTGGGAGCCCCAAATCCCGAAAGCCCCTCAGATCTCCACGTGAGGATGACAGCAAGGATGCCACGAGTGGGAATCACAGCAGGGCATGGAGGGCATGGCAATGTCCCCGGTGTGGCAATGTCCCCACAGGACAGCCTCTCCCAGCCCCCAGCTCCTGCTGTGCTCCTGCTGGTGGCTGGGAGGGGACAGATGTGGCAGCAGTGTCATCATTCCCTATGGAGCCTTGTCCAGGCTGCTTCCAAGCCCTAATGCTCCCCTTGGGAGAGGCTCACAGCCTAATTAATAGATGTTGATTAATTGATCCCCCAGTCCCTGACACAGGCCCATAAATCCTGCAGGGAGGTGCCTGTGTTTGGCCCAGAGCCACCCTTGGAGCTGTGAGCCCTGGGAGCACTTCCCTTTGGGATGGCACAGGGCAGGAGGGAATGAAGCATGGGACACTTCTGCTGCATCCCAAAAGCACCCAGAACATCCAGAGCACACGGCTGTGTGGGCACTGAGCTGCCAGGGAGCAGCAGGATTGATCCACCAGCTCCTATCAGGCTGTGGGAAGAGCCAGGAGGGCACCTCCAGCCCCACTGGTGAGGGCAATGCCAGTGTCCAGGGCAGGAGGGATGGAGGGACACAAAGGCAGTGCTGGGATGCCCCTCTCCAGCCTGGCATTCCCTGTGTGCAGCCATTCCCTCATCCCTGCCCAGCCATCCTGGCAGGGCTGCCCAGCGTGGGGAGTTTCACCAGACAGGGCACAGCAGCTCCAGACAAGAACAGAACACTTTAATCCAAACCCCAGCCCTGCCCAACCACAGGAGACCCTCAGCCCCAACAGGAAGCACTTTTGGGNTGGCCACGCCCCAGTTGCAGCTCTGGAAGGAGCCCGGGGAGAAGGCCAGGGACATTCTCTCGTCACATTCAGCCAAGGACTCTTTCTGTCCGTAGCCATCGTCAAAGGCCTCGGCGATGTCCTCGCCCGCCGTCAGCTCCGGGTGCTGCTCACACTCCCCTTCCCCGTCCTGCTCCACGTCCACCACATCAAAGGTGACCATGGTGGGGAGGGCAGGGAGGTTCTGGGTGAAGGATGAGCTGGAGGCCGAGCTGCCCAGGCTCTCAGAGAGGCTGGAGAAGAGGGTCCCGCTGCTGGCAAACTCCACCAGAGCCTGGGAGAAGTTCACAGCGTGCTCGGGCTCGCTGCCCACCTGGGGCTCACCAGGACCAGGCTCTGCTCCAGCACCGTGCTCCTGCTCGGGCAGCCTGAACCCAGGGAACAGCCCTGCCTTGCTGCCATGGATGGGGTCCCCAAACATCCCACAGTCCAGGTCTGCATCGAAGCCCGGGTTGTTCTTTGTGAGCTGAATAAGGCAACTTCCAGGGGCTTTTTGGCTGTTGTAGCAGTTTTCCAGACACAGAGTCCCTGGAAAATCCCTCCACTCTGCATTTTCAGCCCTAGCCACTGCAACCCCACCATTGACAGCCCGGCCTGGGGTGTGTGAGGGCACCTGCTCACTCCCAAGGCCACTCTGACTCCTGCCAGTGGAGCTGGCTGCTCTGGTTTTACATTCAATGCACTGCTTCTCCCGGGGACACTTCTCCTTGCTGGACACATCCAGGCGCTTCAGCACGGGCTCCCTCTGCAGCTCCCAGTACAGCAGCTCTTTCTGAATGGCTGCAAGCCCCTCCTCTTCGCTGTCCATCAGCCCTCTCTTCTGATCCATCATCTGCTGGATCAGGCTCTTCTCAGCAGGGAGGCAGAAGTCCATGAAGTAGCTGAAGATGCCCTGGCGTGGGACTTTGCCCTCGAACAGGGATTCCTCCCCGTGAGAGGGGCTCATCAGGGTGTCAAACTCATAAAGTGCATCCCCACTGTAGCTGTCCCGGGGCAGCCGGTCCTTCTTGAGCTCCTCTCCAGCCTCATCCTCCGGCCCCGGCGTGGTGGAGTCGTAATATCCCTCATCACTGTTAGGGGCAGACTCCTGCTGGTCGCTCTGGGGCGTCAGGAGGTCAACACCATCCATGGCGTCCCCCATGTAGGGCTGGGCATCGGCCTCGTGAGAGGCGTGTGTCTCCAGGCTGCTGCTGGACACCTGGGCCCCGTAGCTGCTGTCCCCTGGCCCGCCGCTGTC